ATGGTAAGCGTACAGGCTTACCATTAAAATAGGTTAGTTTCAATTTGTTAAAGGGGCTCTATTATGCTCCTTGGGGTTTTCCCATTCCTGTAGTTTGTGATTTTGTGCATGTAATTGGTCTGCAAATGCTAAAATCCCTGTGTTCCTTCCAGAGGGAGTTTCTCTCCCACACTGTCAGGGTAGAGCGAAGCAGACAGGACCCAAATGCAGGTTTTACAGGAAAAATACCTTTATTTCAAGGCTAAACGTAACATACAGAGCTCTCCCCCGTGAACACAGTCAACAACAAACAAGGATCTAACAATGACAGACAGAAAAACCAGAACTTAAATGCACACAAGACTAATCACACAAACAAGACACAGGTGAGGAGGGAGGAGAAAACATAGGGGCACCAGGTGAACACAATCGGGTAATCAGGCAGGAGGGAACACAGAGACAGAAAGCAACAGGCAAGACGGGGGGGGGGAGAGGTGTGAACACTTTCAAAATAAAACAGGAAACCAAAGACAGATCAAGACAAGACAAAACACAACACGGACAGATCGTGACACACACTCTTCCCCCCCTGCCTAAAACTCATCCATTGGGGTGGGACATATCTAAGCAGTGGACCAATCACAGCCAGCTAACCAATGTCCTCTTTAATCTCTGTTTAATTCATTCCTTTGGCTGCGTTGTTGTGCATCTTGTTGGATTGTGTTAGTTGTTCTCGCGTCTAGGAGGAAGTTTAAAATAAGAGACCAATGGAGTCTCTGAAAAGGTTCAAATTGGTACTTTAATGAAGTAGCGTGGTAATGAAACAAACAGAGAGGTATTGGGACAACAGCTGTGGTCCCGAGGCTGCAGCCATGGAAAGAGAGCGAGATTACATTCCCTCTCAGTCTGAATCTCTTCCTTCGCTCCTCCACTCAATGGAGGCTGTGACGTAGGGGGTCCGCCTTCCTTTCTCCAATGTCCGATATCGCGCATAACAGATGATTTAGACGTTGTGTGTTCATTGTATAACTCCACACGCCTTTTCTCCTCATGCACTCATTCATGACTTTTTATTTAATGCATTTTAACGGCTGTAATCGATGTTAACGTAAAACCGGAAATGGTCACTTTTGACAACGGCAATGCCTTTCAATAAAGCTTTTCAAAGTAAACTTAACCGGAAATGTTTTCAGAATAAAACAGTTGTAAATTTACTGTGTGTTTAAGCTAAATGACGTCATTCAATATTGATTTTAATTTCTTACAATCTCTAAAACATTCCTTTCCATTTTCCAAAGTGTATGCCTCAAACTAGTGTTTTCGGAGCACCAAAGGTAGAGTCAAATTTGAAGCACCACTTTAATAAATTATCCTCATCGATGACATTGAGGTCTCCTCCAATCCAGGCTAGACTAATTAGGTGTCAGATTTTTAACAACCTGTAAGAGTTGATTAACTGCTGTAATAGTGTGCGTGTGTGTAGTGTTGAGGCTTGTTTTTAATAAGGCGCCTCACAGTAGGTAAACCACAAACAGCGTTGAAGGTTAGTTTGAAGCACATGTTCAACCACAAAACAAGCTAATCTCCTGCCAGTGTTTTCTATTGCTCCGATAGTACTAGTCTCCTTTGTTGGTAATGAGGAGTGGTTTGTTATTAGTGACAGACTACTGTAGAACATTGTAATTCAACATCGCTGTGCTGGTGTCAAGGGAACATATTACCGCTGTTCAGTTGGACTTACTGTCTTCTTTTAATTGCTCTTTTAATTAACTTGTGTCTAGCCTTGGTCTTGTCAGAGGATGCCCAAGTATGCCATTTAGCAAAAGGTAATGAGATTAACCTCTCGTTGACCAAGCAAATGCTGATTAAACATTATGTCCAAATGAAATGAGCTGGGCCTTATTTACTCATGTGCACAGGCAGGCGGCAGGCAGGCGAGCCACAACTCTCTCAGCGGTAACATAGCTAAAATGTCAAGGGGATAGAGGGGAGTGGGTTTGGCAATGAGTAGCGAGTGTGGCCGACCAGCTGCATTTGAAGGAAAGAGAGAGAAGCCAGCGCTGGAAAGTAGTACGAAAAATTCTCCCACTCTTCATCGCTATCTGAGGAGAGGCGACTGCAGACAGTGGATGAAAACTGGCCGCTAATCAGTCAGTCACACTCACACACATCATGTGTTAAGCTTCACACACAGACACACACCTACAGACTCCTTCTCTGTCTCTTGCTGTGATGTAGACCCAGAAAGAATGCAAATAACACTCTCTTCACTCAATCTACCCACACACACATGCATACAATGACCTCCAGCATGAAGACACACTCATTGGGTCAAGGCAGAAGAAAACAACACGTGGCATGTTTGGATGTTTTTTTCCTTTCCTCTTAGTCCCACTGAATTCTTGTCCAAAGTTTGCAGCATTGCACAACACTGACTGTAATGTGTGTGGACACAAACATGAACATTATGCCTCAGAGATCCTGAAAACAGTCATATCCTCTTCAGTGTTCAGAGTTTATTGTTGACTTGTACTTTTTTCCCCAAAACACAAACCTTTTAAGGGCATAATACTCTACATACAGGACCTCTTAAACTAACCTTACATTCTCTCAGGAACATTATTCATTCAAGCCTTACTCTTACGGTTTAACATTTGGCCCTAAAATGAAAAAGTTATAGTGATGTATCTATAATTCAAACATTGAAACATATCTTGGATGTCTGTCTACAAAAATCTAATGTCTCGACAGTATCATTGACTTTTGTTATCACGGTGATCTATACTATACTATGTTATGTCTAAATTCTGTAATAATTCAAGCTCCACAATCCTTGCAGTTTGCCCTCGTTTCCTTTGGCACATCAGTGCACAGTTTCCACGCAAATGGCCTACTTTATACCTCCTCAGTCGCCCCTAAAAAAAAACACACAATTCAAGGTGACAGATTCCTTCTTGTTTCAGGCAGAATCAAACATATTCAAATCCATCTTTCAATTAAGATTTTATCACTGGAAGTTTAGGAACTTTCTTCACTTTATCGAAGGAAACCTTTCTAACGAAACTTTATTTGTGACCTTCGCCCCGCTTTCTCCTCGCCCAGAGTTTCTTCAAGCAAATGTCCTTCCCCGAGCTGGAATAAGCTGCCTTGGCCCAGCTAGTGCCTCACCTCGTTTTAATCAGGCTTTGGGGAGTGAAATATGGGCCTGGCGAGCAGGCAGTACCCAAGCTCAATTCATCTGGTTTCAATCTTCTCTCCGCCCTCGGATGTGGCCGCGTGGGCATTCCTTTTCTAGACACGAGGGGGGTGGGAAGAAGTGGAGCCAAGCAGCACAAAGGGCAGGCGTTTGTTTGGAGGAGCGTGTCAGTGTGTGTGTTTTTGTATTGCTGCTAGGAGACATTGAAAACTCCGGTTACTTTTAAAAAGCTACGAAGCACTAATGCGTTTGGTCCTCTCAGAGGGACACAAGAAAACACTTAAACCGTCTAGAGCAATCATTCACACACAAGATACGGTGTCTTTTTCATTATTTCTCAACGTCAATATTAATGCACTTAACCTACTGTTAAGTATGTTTCACTAGGTTTGTTTTAAGTATGCTTTTGTGTCTAGCAGGTGAAAAAGGTTAGTTTCCTTTATGAGTTGGCTTAGCTCATCTTAAGGACAGATGGTCTGCTGGTCCATTAACTTTCCTAAATGAGCCTAAGTGAGGCCTTTCCTGGAAGCCTTGCAGCCCCCTGTTGACCAATAGTGCAGTCACCACTCAGCCTCCGTCAGCCGGCCCACAAGTCAACACCTCTCAGTATACAGCTGCCAAAACAGACGTGGCATCTGCTCACCTCTGGGGAAATGGCAGCCATCGACGTGTCCTTCCTAGTCACGGTTTGGATGGATAGGTTATCTCTTTGTCCTTTGCAGCAGCAGCTAGAGCGGCTGTAACAATATCATCCTGTTGTTTGTGTATGACGCGTCCCCAGCTTTGTTATTTTCTGCTTAACCGATCAAGCAAAGTCATATGTCAGATGTATACAAGAGGACTGGCGACAGCACTAATATGTCAGTGACGCAGCGCGTTAGAGCTGGGCGGATGGAGAGAGGGAGTTAGCGTCCCGTCTGTTTTCAATTAGCCGCTGAAATGTACAACATGGGAGCTGCTCTGTTGTGTTCAGTTCCTATTTTCCCGTGGACACAGCAAAGTAAATTAGATTTTTTTTGCTGAAAGAGGCTTCGCCGTCTAACCCCAAGTGAACTTGGACTTTGGATGGTGACAGAATACCGCAGTGACCTAGATAATGGAGTTTAATCTGCGTACGCGTGCAGAAAGGCGAGAAAAAGAAGGGCGTCCAGAATCCCCACACCATTCTGACTGTGAGCTCCCAACATGTAGTGCTTATGTATCCAGATTGGGGCTATTTTACAGACTGAGACTTAGTGCAGCTCCAAATATAGCATATAGCTCTGGGCTTGTTTTCCCTCTTCTTTCTCACGTGCACAAAAACGTAACCATATAGCCCTCTGTGGCTTTTATTGTCTTCCCACAAGTTGTTAAAGGCTTCTTTGAAACACCACTGGAGTATTGAATTGCATTTAATAAAAGTCAGGGGTGTAGCACTTTATAGTCCATGAGGTGATATTTGTGGAATTTTCATCGGTCTCGCACTTTTGTGCAGCATCCATCATCGGAGGGAGCCCGGGCGACTGCGTTACATTCCACTTCCTGTGGTCATACACATAGTCAGCTTTATTTTCAACCTAATGGACATAAAAAAAATTGCAGATTTCAGCAAAATGGACTTGGCAGCACAAAAGCTTATTAAGTATTGATCCGCTGAGGTCAGTGCCCATGTCCAGTCACTCCAACAATGTGAGAGGAGTCCGTTCACACGCTTGCCAGCCACAAATTGAGATTAGACCACATAAATAACGGGGGAAATTGAAGAGCATTTTGTGTCACGGGGAAAATAACTGTGCCCACGGTTGTATTATGTGCCAAGAAGAGAAGCAGGAGAGAAATGGTTGTTTCTGTGTGCACTGTTGGCATTATTGGTGTTTTTATCAAAGTTAGCCCATCTGTCCGTGCTCCAGCAGTGCTTGGATATGATATCAAACCACACCAGTGCCCAGCAGGAGAGCTTTAAGTTGATCAGCAGCAGGCAAACCTGTCTTCTACAGTGTTTTAATGAATACAGCTCATCTTGTTTCTCTCTGCACCATCTGTCAGGCATGCATGGTCAAAGAGCTTGAAGTCAGCAAAGAACAACTTTCCACTGTCGTGTCTGTACCTTTACTGGAGATCTCTGTGATGAATATTTTCCGCTCTTATTCACAATGCCCTGCCAACAAAAATACTGCGATTCCACACAGACCAAGAAATAAGCTTGGCCCCGGGACAAAACCCTGTTGAATAAGAAGGAATAGGAAAAATGTTCTCTTTGCAGGAATGGAAATTGTGAGGGAAACCAAATTTGATATCTGTCGGAGCAAATATAATTTCTCTAACCGGATTTGGAGTTGTTTTTCTTTGATAGCCCAAATTGCTGACTTACTACTTGGAAATGAAGGAATCATTTTCTATTCAGCTCTAGACACATGCTAGTGAAAATGAGTATCATGGAAATGTGTTGAGCAACAGCGAAAAAGAATAAATCACTTTTTGAAGATTTCTTTATGTCAGAGGGATTACTCTCCTCGGTCCTCCATTAAATGTCTTCAGCGAGCGACGGCAGGTTTATTCAAGGCCATGTTCATGCTCTGCAGGGAGGATGTGCCCTTAACACACACACACACACACACACACACACACACACACACACACACACACACACACACACACACACACACACACACACACACACACATCCCCACACACAGCTTCTATTAGCTTTGTTTTTACAATACTTTGCTGCTTGATTCTTATAGTCCTAGCTTTGGAGACGCTCATGCAGAATAAAGTGAATGTGCACACATGCTGGTCTGTTTAGGCTCCTCCAGATGTTGGGTGGATCCGTTGCTGCAGCAAAGTAGAGAGGTCATTGTGCAAGCCCCATTTAACTGAAGCGTGTTATCTTGTGCAAAACAGACCGTTTGACTTTTGGACCTTGCTCAGTCTGAACGCTTTAAAGGGAGAACATTGTCTTGCATGCCAAATGTAACCCTTTAAACCTTTAAACAACACAAAGGCTTCTGCTGATTACTCTACAAGTCCGGCTGAAGTGTTTAAGAAGCATTCATTAAAGTTTATAATGGAGACCATCCTTTCCAAAATTATAAATTGTGATTTCATTTTCCATAAAGAAAGACATTTAAAAAAAATACAGCCAATGACAATCAATGTGTTCTTGGTGATAGAGAAGTCCACTGCTCACATTTAAAGCTGTGTTTTTTCTACAAAAGCCACATAAGGTGGAAGGAATTAAAAACCAAGGTTGTGGGTTCGATCCCAGCCCGTGCAGCCCGTGTCGATGTATCCTTGGGAAAGATACTTAACCCTGAGATGCTCCCGTGTTTTTTTCCTCTTCACGACGCATTTATTGGCTGATGCGACTTATACTCAGGAGCGACTTATAGTCCGGAAAACCTAGAGTAAGGTACACTGCTCTGTATGAATGGGTGTGGGTGAATGACATGTAGTAGGGCTGCTCAATTAATCGTACTTTAATCGCAGCTACGATTTTGGCTTGCAACGATTATGAAAACAACATAATTGAAATAAAACGATTATTATGTTTATTTTTTTATTTTTTTGGGTTTTTGAACATACTGTTCAGATTTTCTTTTTCAAAAATGGTGGTTTTCAAAGTAAGTGAATATCGTTTTTAATAATCGTGATATCAACGATTGACCCAAATAATCGAGATTATGATTTTTGCCATAATCGAGCAGCCCTAACATGTAGTATGTGAAGCGCTTTGAGGGGTCGTAAAGACTGGATAAAGCGCTATATAAGTACAGTCCATTAACCATTTACTATTTATTGTGTCAGTGTTCGCTTTCTCTAAGTTTTTGTAAAGAGAAAACCTTAACCCAGCAAAGTTGAAAAACAGTGTTTTCCGTACAGGAGAGAAAGACTTTGAACCAAAGTGTAGCCTTTTATGAGACGCTCTGTGCTCCTTGGACCATTTCAGGCTAAAAGCAGAAGATTTATGGCGCGGCTATAGCATCTTGGACAGCTACACCCATGAGTGTGGGTGACGCCACCAGATGCAGCGCTGAGAAGATGTGTATTGCACTTTAAGCAGGTTTCCCTGACTCTCTCTCCCTTGAGGATTGGCATAATTAGCTTTTTTTTCCCATCTCCTCCCTACTTCCTTATTTTGCGAGAGAAAATGCAGAATACTTTGGGGGATTAGACTCTGCGCAAAACTAATTTTGGATCTATTTGGGGCTCCGTCAGTGGGATGGTGTCCCAATCGCTTGACATGACAGCAACCATGAAACCATGAAAGGCATACAAATGAGGGCAATAAGAGTTGAATACACCACAGGGCCGTACATTATGTAGACCTCAGTGGTGATTTATCTCCCATCTCCCCCTTACCATTGGTCCTTTATCTCTCTTTTTCCAGCCAATCCACCCTTCCAGGTTCAAGGGAGTCTCGTGGAAATTATTCCCTTTCTGTTTTGGTCCTCAAACCAAACCATTACTGCTCAAGCAGACTTCTTAGAAACCTCTCATCAAAGATGAACATGAGCAGGACAGCTTTTAATTTTAGATGTTTTCAACCTCCATAAGACTCACTCCTCAAGTAGCCTTCAGGGTGCTCCAAATAATGCAAAATAAGGGTAACACACATTGCATATAGTCGATAAGTAATCCTTTCTTTTCTTCTGTTCTGTAAACAAAGCAATAATCTCAGCTGTCTCTGGTCCCATTCATCAATGACTGGTACAGTGTATACATCGTACAAGCTGCTTGTTAGTGAGATGTGACATTTTTCCCTGAGGAGAAACATAACAAGTCTTGCAAGATATTCCTAAAGCAGTGACACAGATGTTGTAACAATTTCCATGTGAGGGTGGAACAACAACAGAAATATTTAGGCTATGAAGAAAGAGGAAGGAGTTATTCCGGATCTTCTTGTAAGCTATTGCTAATTAGCATTTAGCTCTTATTTGCTCCGTAATGACACTACGGACTTTACGAAGGGTTATCAACAAAAGCTCCATGTCAGCAGAAGGGAGCATCAGTCGCAGGGTGTGAGACGAGGAGGATTATGGGATTTTATCCCTTCAAAGACTCAGCCTCCAGAAAAAAAAAACAGCCCCTTTGATTTTTCACAGGAGCAATATATTCATGAGTTTGGACCTTGAAACTACAAGGAGACTAGTGTAGTGTGCCATATGCAAAACATGTGTTTTAATGGGCCATGATAACTTGGTGCATTTAAAGAGACTTACCCCTTAAGAAGCTGTAATTAAAAAGGGAGCTGTGGCTGACTTCTCTCGCACAGACACAGGGGTTGTTTTTGTAGGCACTCATTTTGCACTAACAACTGGAGGCGACTTCTCGTCTGCTGAGACATCTGAAGAGAATGTTGGTGTTTCAAGCAAGTCTGTCTCGCAATCTTCAAAGATATAAGGAAAGAGGAAAGGGCAGGATGTAACCTACTCTCTGTGAATATCTGTGTCACTTTTGTAGTATTTATAGCGTATATGTTTGGCATCTCAATAGCCAATTCAGGTCACACAGGATTTTCTGTAGCATTGGTGCAGGCCGACGCACTCCTTTAAACAGTACACTGAGCTGTGAATATTTCACTATTGTCTCATCAGCCCTATGCTCCTCTCAGCATGTCCCCAACTCAGCTAAAAACTGGCTTCATGTCAGCAATATGAATGGAGGAATTGTATTAATATTTGCCTTGTCAGGTTTTGCTAGTTACATGCATAAAGCCCTATGTGTTATAGAATATCTATGGAGGCCTTAGCCCAATCAGTTCTCTTTCTCTTGCATTCAACCCAGTTTCTTGATAACTCTGTAATTTACCGGGGATAAACAGTTCCTGGCTGATTTAAAGGGTTGGAAGATGATTGCTATGTTTGCCTGCTGCATTGAGACACATCAATCAAATGTGATTTGAGTCTTGTGGCAGCTGTATTCTAAATCAAAGTTTTGTATGCTGAGGCGATATTTACTGTCGTCAAAAGATAGTCATTGCATCTGCGTGTCGACATCAAGCATACGCACGCATGTCAAGAAAATGTAGACGGACCCACGCGTATAATGTACATGGAAGGCATCTTGAATGCACACAATAGGAAATAAAACTATAATACCTCCAGTCTTTTTCTCCCATTGTGCTTCTGCTTACCTATTTCTAAAACCACCTTTGTGATGCTATAATCCATCCTCCACACCAGTGACTTACAGTAAGTGCTCAAAATAAGGCATTGCACCATCCCTCCTCCAGCCCTCCCTCAACCCATTTTTCTCTGTCCTTTCACTTCTCTCACCCGCTGTATCTCCCCCTGTCCCTCTCCCCTCTGATCTGCTGTGTTTGAGTACCAGAGGTCAGAAGCTTTGGACATAGCACAGGCTCCAGCCGGCCAATGTGCTGACTGAGGGGATATGGGGCTTGACTTTGGGCGCTGTGAAAGATCCAGGCCTGCCTTGTTTGTCTGTCTGTCCGTCTCACTGGCCACACTATAACAAGATTGCAGCGCTCTGTAAGGCGGATTTACTGGAGCACAACTCCCCCTAGGGCCTTTTCATAGAAATGGGTTCCTCCATATTTTACTGTAGCCTCTCACTCCCTCTCTCTTTGTCGTATCTGTCTCTCTCTAATGCTCCTTCTCTCTTTCCTCTGGTGTTAGCTTCCACTTTCTTTTGTTAATTATGATATGCTTCATTCCTTCCTTTCTTTTGGTAACGATTGGACTTTGCTACAAATGAAAGCACGAAGCTGAGACACAATGCGTGAAAAAAAACCCTGATTGAGGACATGGCCTGGGATTTGGCGCCAGCTACCATTTCACAAGTCCTCTCAACATTTATCTCTCCCTCAAGATGACTATGTTTATGTAGAGATAGCCTTTGCCATGTCCTTATGGAATCTCATAAAGACATGTGGTTCAGGCGCAGCACTGTGACGAGCAATGTTATCTCAGTTTCAGCTCAAATGTTCCCTGTTTTTATACTTTCTAGGTCACCTTACTGCGGATTTGAAAGCTAAGGTCATAAACCCAAACTTGACTGAGCAAACCGTTTGTCATACTGTGTGCGCATAGCTGCCACAGTAATGAATTATGTTGTGTCTCATAGTTTGATGTTGACACAAATGATGGGGTCTTGCAGTCCAATCATCCCAGCTGTGCACACGGTAAATGAGGCCAATCCAAATGCAAACGCACATGAAGGCAAGCTTATTTTGGGAGCACTGTGTCATCCATTCCACAGCACAAAAGCCCCTCTGCAAGACCATAAATAAGTCGGAAAGTGGGGTGCAGCCACGGTGTACCAACCAATCCCCTTTTTGGATATGTCTGCCAACTCTTTCTGGCAAAAACTAAGAAAATGTTCTGTATGTCACATAGCTGCCATTACTGTGGCAGCTATGCGCACACAGTATGACAAATGGTATTTGCTGTCAATTTTCCTCTGTAGAACAAACGTTATGTATCACTCAAATCCTCATTGTTGGCCAATGACTCCATTCCAAAGATATAGGGTTAACCCAATAATAGTTTAAAGTTCAATTTAAAGTCAGCTTGTGGAAAGTGTATACCACGATTGCAATGCCCCCGATTTCACCCTGGCCCTGTCTATCTTTCGGGTTAACTCTTCCATTCACGGAGCCTATAGTTAAAGCGGTGGGCCGTTAAGTAGGAGGTGGGAGGTGAGAACAGAAGAAGCTGCTCTTATCGGGCCCGCTACACAGTTCTGGGTTCAACCCGGGGCCCCTGAGGGTGTGGGAGCGCTGATTACAGAGGTTAGCCTGGGGAGCTAAATGGGAGACAGTGGGAAATGGTCTCCCAGCTGAAGCCTAAAACACCATCAAGCTTTTACTTGCACCATTGGGTCCCACCAACTGTACACACACACACACACAGTCTGACCATTCTTCACCTTGAAATGTCTTTTCACTGCAAAACTCTCTTTTCCGACATCCAAAGTAATATCGGTGGGGAGCCCCACAAGATGAATGACCCTGCAAAGGCTGCATTAAGAAGTCATAAGCGGGGATACCTTCAGGGTGCTGGAGCTCCTCTGTTAGGACGGGTTTGCCTTACTTTTCTGCTGACTAATGATTTGAACCGAGCATGTGGTCCAACAGAGCATAAGGACCTCAGCAATGCATCCTGTCACTCCTGGGCTGCCAAATAGACTCACAAACACTCAACCGTGAAGTGCCCTCTCGCTTTCCAACTCGTGAATACCAATTGGAAAACTCAAACTTGATTGACAGTGAGTTGCCCGGAGCTCTGGCTTTTAGCAGACTCACAAAGTAGAGGCGGAGCTTTAACAAAACTTGAAGAACCGTTTGACTGAAGCTCCCTTGTAAGAGGTTGTTTGTGTGAGGCTACTTCTCTGTGTCCTGCGTCAGCACTGACTCATTGGTTTCACAGCGCAGAGCTGACATTTTCATTGGCCCTGAGATCACTTATGGGACTGGGTGTTGGCTCCTGTGAGGGTGGACCAGGGAACAAGTGGACAGGCGCCCAGTGAGTGCTGATGCATTCACTGGCCACATGTGGCCTCCGGTGGAACATTTGACAGCATGCGATCGGGTCTGTTGAGCACAAAGGGATTTTTTCAAAGATTGTCACTGGGTTGAATCACTCCACCGCAGACACAACACCTGTGAATGCTCATCTTTTCTTTTTAAATAAATGCTCCACACACAAGGAAATATTAAAACGTCAAGCAGCAGAGTTATGAAGAAGAGATTTAACAATATTTACACAACCTGTACATTCCTGCATGAATCTAATGATCATCTGCTGGCTGGATGACTTTATTTCAAGCACTCGGGAAGAGCTACTGGCTTGTTCAGCAATTAAATTAAAGGCAAGTTGAATGTTGTAGAGCCAAAGATATCTGTCACATTTGAGTGCGTAAGCTCAGTGGTAGTACTGTACGTTCTTTCTACCATGTGGAGGGGGTCGGATATCTAAGCAGTGCACCACCCCCTTCTTGCACACAAAAACACACACACCCGACAGAATCCATCGCTGCAGCTTCCAGCAAACCCCCCTGACGCCTCTGGCTAATTCCACTCAAGCCCGCCGGGCTGTCCAGCATCCTCCAATAAATTAGCCTAGCTGCTCCCCCGCTGAGACTCAGGCCCTGACAGTCTGGCATGTGCCCAAAGTCAATCTCTTGTGCCCACAATTATAATTATTGCTTCTCTACTGCAATGAAAGTTCTCTAATGTGTAGACTCTGGGATTTTTTGGGCATGTGTCTTTCTCTGATTGCATGTTGTGTTTGTAGAGAGTGTCAAATGTCAAGCCCATTTTGACTGCTTTTCATTACACATATGAGTAGTAGTTAAAGTCACTTCAGTAGCTGTATTTCTTCAGTTTTCAAACAGTGTCCATGTGCAGGTAGTCCTTCTCCTCTGTAATCAAAAAGCTGTGAACCTTCCCTCACAATTCCCCCCGGCTGTTGCTGTGAATAACAATGTGTTCTTTGACTGCCCTTGTCAAAAAGGGTTGACAAAAAGATCATCATAATACCTCTCTCTGACCTCCTGTGCCAAACTCTATTACCCGTGAAAAATAGGATGCTCTCTGTTCAGTGTCCTGTTGTGACGTATCTCAGCAGCTGTCAGATCGTGATTGGGATTCTGGATCATATCTCTCGCTGCGTCTCTATTTCCTCTATCGGCACAGGTTTTGCTTCCAATCTGCAGCATCTGCCTTTTGTCTCAAGTTTGGATTGTGCAAGTCTCCCCATCTGACATCTCTCTACCTCTCCCTCTCTCTCTCTCTCTCTTTTTTCCAGTCCTATGCAGCCTGCTGTCAGTGGGTGCCCAGACGGAGATGAAGAAGGTCGTCGGGGACAACGCCACCTTACCATGCCACCACCAGTTCCCGTCATCCAACCCTCTCGACATCGAGTGGCTACTGCAGAAGCCAACTCCAAGCAGAAAGTGGTGAGACAAGATCCCTTTTTCTGTCCCGTCCTCAACTTTATATTGTCACATGGTGTTGTCAAAACATTCAATTCAACTCAATTCTAATGCATTTATCAGGCACAGTATACATTTGTCTCAGTTTTACAGTCCATACATATAAACAAAACAGAAATTAGAGATTAAAGAACATAGAATCAATTAAGCATAGGATAAATCAACTGGAAACCTTGGATTTTCACTGTATCATTGTCAACAATTAATTACTGTTTCTAATTGCCAGGCCTACAGCTAAGTAAAACCCAATCAAATACAAGTAATGCTTCTTTAATTGGTCATTTACAAAATGAGCAGCCTGGTTTCGGTCTCCTTCGTTAGTAAAATTGTATGTTTTTATGCAACAGGAACAAAAAATAACTCGTTTACTCACTTTTGATGACTTCAAATATGGGGTTACAGATTTGAGAACATTAAATATAGTTCTTTTGAAAGGACAGTGAGGAAATTTCAGACCCAACATTTATTTTCTTCTCCTCCTTCCTTCTCTCCTTTACACATCCACGTTTTATCCTTCCTCCATTTAGGTCATGCTGATTGATTTCCAACAGGAGCCATAATAGTTACACATAAACTCAATGCCGAAAGTTAATGTTGCACTTTAAGTTTACGTGCCGTTCACAAAGAATAACCATGCCCAGAATGTTCCCAACCCTTTTGTAGATCTAACCTTGGACCCTCTAAATTTTTACTTTCTCCAAAGCGTTAAGGGACATAAAGTGGTAATGATTTAAAAAATGTATTTACATCTTGAACAAAGAAACAGTCTTTATTCCCTTTTCATCACTTTTCATAATGTCTGGCTGTTGCTGAATATGTTAAAGGTCCCATGGCCTGGCCATTTCTACTGATCATAATTCCATTGTTGAGGTCTACTAAAATAAATTAATATTGTGCAATTTTCCAAACTCACATTGGTTTCTCATACAGCATCTCTGTATAGTATGTGTATTCACTCTCTGTCCTAAACGGCTTGTTGGAGCTCCTGCCCGCCCCTCCCTGTGAGCCCAGTGGCCGTCTGCGAAACAGCGAGACACAGCGAAACCCAGCCCGAAACCAGCCCGAACACACACACCCACAGCCTGGCTGGGAGTTGTGTGTGTGCTCACACACCAACTCACAGCCTCGCCGCATCCCGCCGTCTCAGGGAGGGAAATCGGCGGAGCTGTAGCGGAGAAAAGATTGAGTATGTGTGTGAGGAAGGTCGGATTGGTCAATTTGGACCAATGGGTCCATTTGGGTATAGGCACGTCACAGTACCCAGGAAGAAAACAATGGAAAAAGCGGAATGTCCAACGAGGCGTTCTGGGGCAGCATAGACAGGTCTTTTCTGTGTTAGATTTTACTCGCTACATGGTGTACTTTGAGGTTTTGTGACTCTGCAGACCGTTTACATGCATAAGAACCTTCATAACACAGAAGGGGACGGGTAATAACCGGAAAAGCATGACATGGGACCTTTAACGCTCCAACACATTGTACGTGATAGGCTAAGGGGCGGGACATCTCAAAGCGTTGGACCAATCACAACAGAGCTGGCCAGCTAACCAATCAGAGCAGACTGGACTCTGGTTTCAGACAGAGGGTGAAAAGAGGTGCTGCACCACAGGCAATATGAGAAAAATAAAGAGCTTTTAGAAGCATGGGGACATGTCCCAGTAGAGGCACAACATACGAATATGATCCTGAAAATGTGCAGAATATGTATGTATTTATTTATTTAAGCTAATGTAGTTAGTTTTTGCTAACTGAAGCTAATGTTGGATAACAGACAGAGCAGCATCACAGCAGTATTTCTCCCTAAAACGGCTTCAGCAGAGACTTTAGGTTCTCCAGAGATTTTGCTGTACACTGCTTCCCCAACACACACTTGACGTGATACCCACATGCACTCCCTTAAGCTCCAAGGAAAGCACACAAGTTTTCCGAAACGTCAGCTCATAGAATAGAAAGTTTACGCTGCATATCCGTCACTCTAAAGTGCTCCTGCTTTCTTTGCAAGTTTTGAAATACAGCAAATAACATATGTTGCTAAACCTTGATTGTTAAACCTTCACATCCTGAGATTCACGATATCTGAGCATACAAGCACTATATACTTTCTGTGTTTTAGAACCCAACAAACTAGACATTGTTAGAAATAGATCATTTATGTTATCATTATGTTGGGAAAGGTTCTTTCAGTGATATTTCTTTGGGTTGTGTGTGTTTATAAATCAGTAGATGGCCTCGTGGATTTGAGGCTCCATCATGACAACTTCATAACAACTCTTCTAAGTAAAGTATCACCTGGCTGAAAGTCTTAAAATAGCTGTATCTGAAGAGGTTGTTTGTATCGTTTCACTGGTTTTGAATCATTGCCTTTCTTCACCTAAATTGAACGTAGTATCTGATGGCCGCCGTAGCGTGCAATCTCACCAGCTTTCTGTCGGAAGAAAGTAATTCCTTTCTCTTTGAAAGTGGTTTGTTCACGCACTGATGTGTTGGTTAGCACGTAGAAATGTGATAAAGGAAGAAAAAAATGTGTGTGTTGAGGGGGAAACAGAGGGGTTTCATGATTGAATAAGGGGAAACAAGTCTTATGCATTGCATGAATATTTAACGGGAAGATAACATTCAAGGCGCCATTCATTAAAACCAAACGTCTGAAAATTTGATTAGGAAGGAGACTGTGCCTGTAGCTGAATGAATAAATCATCCTTTTGTTCTGCTGGAGGGCTGTGTTGAGGGGGAAGCAGCATCTTGTCAACATTTAGCCTCTGTTCGCAAATGTACAGCCTACATGTGTATTAAGGGGCTCGAGACATTTCACCAAATTGTACTGACTTATGTAAAGATTCTAAATTTTTACTGCGCTGACCTGCACCCAACCGTCCCTCAGAAACACAACTGGGTATTAGCATAGCAACAGCAGTGGCACAGTCCTGGAAGGGTGACATAGCTGTTTTTAAGAGGCCTTATATGCTCATTTTCAGGTTCATATTTGTATTTTGTGTCTCTACTCTGACATGTTTCCATGCTCAAAACGGTCTTTATTTGTATCAGAACTTTGGAATGTTAGCCTTAGCAGACCATTTACATGCACAAAAACCTTGAAACACAGGAAAGAGAAATCCCCCAAAAGCACAATAGGGCCTCTTTCAAGCTCAAATTCTGTCCAAAACGTAGCATCCTTTCTTGGAAAATACATCAGCAGCAACGTGATAATATTATGTTATGTTAATAGTTATGTCGTTGATTTTCTATGTAAATTTGCTAACCTTCCAGTACACAATTTTAAAAATACTTTATTGGCATGTATTACCAGACAATTGTAGCCATATGAGATGATTATTATTCATGAATAGGAAAGTGGAGAGTGTCAAACATTGGCAAAAATGCAAAACGTTTGGTTTTCCATATTTGCTTTTGTTCTGTTGTTATTCAGATTGATAACAATATACCACATTTGGGACAATGTAAAGGCCTTGAATATTGAATCTAAACATTGGTGTGCTTTGTGATCTAGTCCAAATAATCCTTAACAAACCATTGCTTTATCTGAAAAAAAAATTATAGCTATCATCTTAAAGTATATGATAGGGAAATAAGATAAGTAGAGGAATCTGGTATTTGCCTCATACACAAATAGCACAGGCAGAGTTTCTGTTACACTTTAATTAAACGTTTTACCTTGAAAGTCAACAGGAACATTTTACTCAGTTGGTAAAAAATGAATTAAGCTGATGTTTTATCTAACTTACAAAAGCTCTGGAAGGTAGAGTCCATGTGTACAGCATTTTCAGATTTGACTGAATAAATAAAAACTCATTTTAATTGCAAACTATGCTAACAGCCCGTGGCACTTTGACTAAATTCTGCTTAAATTCCTCACACTCACTGGCACTCTCACTATCTCTCTCTATCAGTGTCATAAATATGTGTTCAGAGCACATCCCGACAAAACCAGAAGCATAAATAAACAGTGTAGTCTATACTAATGTGCAAGTGAGGAATACATGTCCAGAGTGCAGGAGAGGCAGCAGGAGGGCGCCCAAAGGCAGATTTAATGTCCCACTTTGTTCAGGTGCCAGGGCCATGTCGCTCTGTGCCTGTAGCTGTGGCACAGAATGTATGTCTGTTTGCATTCAGTCTGCTTGCATAGAAGTGCCTGTGTGTGTAGGTCTGAGCATGTGAGTGTGTGAATGGCCAGTCGTCACCTGTGCTCACAGCAGGTGCCCCGGTCTCTAAGGCCCTGATGCGCTGTGGCACCGGCATTTAGCAGTCTCCATCTGCAGGCTCTCACTCGCCCTGAGTTATAGGCCACTGTGACAGCTGTGTTTGTTTGTGTTTGTGAATGTGGATGCAGAGAGGGGGGGGGCAAGTAGTGTGTATAGAAATGAGCCATGCAAAGACATTAACAGGCAGAGGAGAAGAAATTAAAGCTTTCCAGTTCAGGTTTACTGATGTTTAGATGTCTGCAGTGAAGGTTCAAATATTCAGATTGCTTCTTTGAAGAAACCAGTCGTTGCAAACATCATTGAACCTTGTGCTAAAAATAAGAGGCAAGAAAAAATAGATTGTGTCGATCGCAAGTCATAAAAGGAAAACTTTTTCCGTACCAGCCTCATTTTAATGTTTGGTTCTAAGTTCTGATAAATATTCACTTCATCTGATTTGTATTGCTTTTGCTGGATAGATTTTATTTGTTTTTGTTGTATTTTTCAAAATGAAATGTACCAATTTATAAGTTATCTGATGTAATTATCTTATACTACATACTGTACATTAGGGTGGTCCTTAAAATTGAAAGTCGGAAAGTCTAAGCTCC